TTCTCCTCAAATTCACTTTCTTTTTGTATGCTGCATCTATTGGTGTCCATGTTATACTAATGATAATAATTATAATCCACACAATAGAAGCTTACTCTTCACGTTATCTTGAAACCAATTCTGTTAACTATTTTTTGACACAATAAACAGTGAACTTTACGCACACAGTATGACATATGCCTATTTGCTAAGCTAAAATGTGATTAGTCACGGCTCTTTATTATTTTTTTCAACCCTTATAAACTAAGTATACTCATTTGCTGAAGATACGGGTTATTGAATATATATGACTAAATAAGAAGGTTACTATGCAGTTGTTCTTACTACATATATCATTCTCAATAACATTATATTTTGTTTATGCATTTATAAAAAAACACTGGAGATGTAGATTCATTCTTAAGCTTTTTCTTGTTTTCTATGTATAAGACACCCACCCAACTCTGTTTAGAATACCGTTCGAATAATGCTAATTGCCTTTTAGTAAATAGTAATTTAAGGACCATCTACCATAATACATCATTTTAGTGATCAGTCTAATGATATAACAATTGCACCTAACTAACAGCTGATTACTTATTCTCGTATGTCAAATTACCGATAAGCTTTTAATGGTTCTCAAGATCCTTGCCATCTAATGGACTCAGCGTGAATAGTAAGATATTCGTTTAAAATTATCTGACACAACCTTATGTGGACTTGTTGGTATCGATAAAACCTTTAAAATATCCAAACGTCTCTAATTCTTCCGAAAGTTGAAGTTATGCTGTTCAGTACTGTAGTCAGAGACGATATTTATGAAGCATTCTGGTTCGTAATTTAACTCCCATAAAAGTGATAAACCTGTTTTACTCGTCTGCCAAAAGGTAACTCATATCGGAATTTCTGATAGCTTGTGCTGACTCAAGTTTTTGGTAGGGTATTTTTTTCATTCTACCATAATATTACAGGCCTCCTGATGAAAGTAATTACCCTGGTCCAGAATCGATAATTTCTGTAGGTATTGGAGAAATAAGGTTTTACTTGTATAATTTTGAAGCATAAAACAGAGCTTGAGGCATGGATTTTAGTGATATTCATTCATTTCCTCCAGCATCTTTCTACTGACTTTAAAATGTCAAAGTTTTATTTTGTATATTCATACCGATTAAACCGTCTACTTTTATCTCTCTCGTCAAAAGTGACAATAGACTCAGATTTTTTTAAGGCTGTGCAGTTTTATGTTTTGCCAAACATCTCTCTGAGCTGTTAGGGTGCCTAATGAAAATATTCATAATTGAAAATCTTGTATAATCTCAGCTTCGATCTGTTGAAGAATATTTGAAGCTTAATTAGATGTTGGAAATGTTGGATTCTTTGGCCTGCCTAATTTTATTCGCGAAGCTTTCATAGTTTTCCTAAACAACATCCTCAGCACTAACTTCAGCTTTCTGTGACTCTAATTTGGGGTTGATCTGAAAAATTGTGTAAAAAGTGAATTTTTAGGGCTGGAATTTAAAGATTAACAATAAGTTTGTTGGTATTTTTAACCTAGACGATTTAAGGAAGTAAATGTCGATGTGCTATTTACGCTGTAGGATGAAATTGTACGCTTTGTAGAGTATTTCCTAACGAATGGGTACATTTATTCTGACAAATCGAAGGTATTCTTTCAACGTTTGGAAACGCTTTAACGTAGTAGTGGTTTGATATGTGCGTGATAAGAGTGTGTTCTTTTCACTAGGAATGTTTTTAGAAGCTGCTTGTGGAATATGCCCAACAATACATGAATGAATACAAGATATTAAACACTTATTAAAGAGCAAATAGTATATGTAAGAAAAACCATGATAAACTAGATCTTTGAATCGACTAATCAGTAATTCCATCATGATTGAATGGGTCACATTCCTTACAATTTTTTTTAAGTGAGTAACTCAACCTATTAACCTGCAGATTTCTGCAAAAAATGAAGTGATTTGATGTTTCTTTCTAAAGTGTCGCTAACCAAAGGTACCTTCTGCGTATTTTATTCGTTAAAGGAATTTGAACAACATGATCTAACCGTCATTAGTAGAATACCTTTCCTCTGGCTGTTGAATGTTTATTCTACTTTGTGTGTAAGATTCGCTCTTACTAGTAATTTATAGACTTACATCCATCACATTTTGGAAGGTAGGCAACGTGAATGTAGTTTCCTCAAGATATTTCTGCTTTTCTTCTGTCTAATAGCATTTCGAGTAGAGCTTTACACTTCGTCAGCTTGCATTAGTCTTGCTGGTGGGCTGAATATCCTTCATTATAGCAGTTTTCTGGTATCATCTACCTATGGTGCTTTTAGTACATTGTTCCAAGCTTCGGCAAGTAAACTTCTGAATACAGTTGGTAACTAATTCACCTGAAGACATAGAATCCAACGACTTTTGATTGCTCTTAAAGTGTCTTCTTTTTACCCAGAAAAACTCATCGCGTCAGTAGCCCTGAAAATAAATGGAAATTTGATGTAACTGTGTTCATCCAACTGCGCAGTTCTAAAACTGTGTTAAAATGGTTGGCTTGAGAATACTACTGCAGTTATTGTTAACGAATGACTTGAAAATAATTTATCATAGATTTCGGTGGAATTCAATCTAAAGGCTTTTGGGGATTTATTTATTGATTTCAAGTTCACATTAATCACGGACTGTCATGACTTAGACAATCATTGAAAGCCTAAGGAGACTGGACGGCTGTATGGTCGTAACAGTGCGGGAGTCCTCATCAGTGCACGCTCACGACTCCGTTTGGGATCACACTTGTAACCTTCAGATTTCGCGGCAAGAATGTTGGCATTGAGCCGGTGGGCTTGCTTATATAGCACAACCTACATTCAGTGCCATTGCTGGGTATTTTTCCTCACGTCCTACCTAGTTTGCTTCACTTATTGTTTTAACTTTGAAAAATCTCATCTCGTGAGCACTAGACAATGATTCATTTTGATAGGAAGCAGCGACTTCTGATTCTAGTCTGGTAAGTGGCATGAATCGGAAATCGATGACAGTAGTGGATAAAAGTCACACTGTATGCTGCATCGGCTAAAGCTGTTTACTCCTGAAACTCCACTCACTAACTGAAACGGGAAGTGTTTTGTAGGATATTGAAATACATTGAATATTCCCATTTAGGTACTTAGAAAAAGACTGGTTGAGCGAAGAAATATTTTCCTTTTCAATTAGATTTTCATCTTTGGCTCTACACTAATATATAATTTTACGATTTGATCAAACTACCACTCAAGTGGTGGGGATTGGTGAACAATAAACATAAATTTTAAGTAAGTAACAAAGATGATGAATTGGAGATAAGGATGTAAATAATCAGTGGAGTGACTTTTGATGAATGTCCAGTCATTTACAATAACTGATTACATAATAATATGAAAACAGATGAATACTGACAGAAACAAGAAAAGCGAAGAGGTGTACAAAGTAATACTAGAAGTCACATGATGTTGATGGCCGCGGTAATGAAAGCGATGGGACAAACTTCTTTTGAATGTTAAGGTTAGGTTTGTAAAGATGGATGCAAGCACTTCTGCTATACGAAGTAAGTGAGTATGTAATCCATGTGGTAAATTAATTGGAATGTGGTGAATAATTTTGAAAGCTTTTCTAGTATCAATATGATGTCCATTGTCAGCTAGGTGTGCAAGTATGGAGCTGTTTATTGTTCTAATTAGTCCTTTGCTCAACCATGACAAGCAGTGCTCAGAAATTCGACGATGGATCGACCTCACTGTATGCCTAAGGTAACTATTTCCGCAGAAGCGGATGAACTGATAAATGCACATGTAGGTAGCAGAACCAGGCCGTTTTTCTTTATTTATTACACCTAGGATCGTGTGGTTGTAGAAGATGAGACAAAATTTAGTGGCTGGGAAGGCTTAAAGCAAGACTAGTTTTATGTTCTGTGTAATATCTCACTGCAGTGTCACTCTTGAATTTCACCTTCGAAAAGATTTGCTTCTTAGAGGCTGGTGACGTTCTTGTCTTAACCTTCGTAACACTCATTTGCCTAGTCACGAATTTGTCTACATAGCTGTTCCCACTAAGCAGGCCACGGAGGGTGGCGAACTCTTCCTCCGTAGCATCATCTGAGCAAGTAGCTGTGACACGGTATGTTGGGCATTAGACGAAGTTCCTTTTGTATTGGAGGACTATGGCACTTAAGAAGTGCCTGCGTTGACCTGCTGATGTTGGTTTTCTATTTATACTTCGTTTCAGAGTTCCATTTAACCTTCTAACCAGGAGAATGTGAAGAAATGGGATACTGTCATTTTTCTCCTTCTCCATTTTGAAGCTGATTCTCGGATGAACACTACTTAACTTATTCAGAACATCATTCTTATCAGTCTCACTTTTGAGAAATATAAAGGTATCATGCATGTAACAACAATATAACTGTAAACGGCTAATTGAAATGTTCTAATTGGAGCATGTATGGGAAGAAGCCTACATTCTTATGATGACCCTAAACTTGCACACGGCAGCTGACTAGTTTTAGCCTATCTTCAGCGGTTTATAACTCTTTGTTGATCTATGTCAAATGAATATCTGTGGTTAACTGTTTACTACCCTACAGTCTATAAATCTAAATCGTGACATCTTGCTTGGCATAGCTTTTATACAACTATTACTTAATTTGTTTATATGAAGTCAATTCAATTGACCAGATGGATTTATTATTACTTCAGTGTTATGTGATCAAAAGTTTATCTAGACTGGTAGCTATTTAACAAACATAAATGTATCCGACCGATGAGTTTATGAAAACGAAAAGTGTGAGAACAAAGTAGTCAGAGAGTTTTCAAAAAGTTGTTTTTTTAGAGCTGATATCATCTCTTATTGTTGTGTTGTATTTTGAGTTTTGATCAGGAGTTCTGTACTGAATATTTTTCTTCAGCGAACTTAATTTAAAACTTGTTATCATAACTGTTGACCATCCTGCTTTTGAATTACTACTAAAAAATTTATTCAATTTAGATGCAAAAGTTGTCCAGGAGGTTTGTACTATTCAATTCAATATGATGAAATTACGAAGGCGAATGTTATTAATTGTACAAAGTGTCCGAATAATTCAATTGTAGTCGCTGATGCATCCAGCTTGCATACAGTGGATGAAGCATGTCAACAGTGTGAATCTGGTACCATTTCAGTAAATCATAGTGTATGCATTACTGATACACGACCAACTCTTGCCTCTGGATTTCAGTATGATCTAACAAATGTGATTGATAAGTAAGCTAAATATTAATACCTAACTCTCATTATACTTTTGTACAACTCATATCTACTTTCCTGATCAAATTTCTGCTGTATTCGAATGATCTGAATGTGAACGCAATTGACTTTCTGAGATCGACTGGTGATTATCCAACTGCTCAACTGAATGAAATTAAAGAACTCGAGTGCACTTTCATTCACTGGGTGTATGTTTTACAGTAATTTCCAAAGTAACGAAACACACATGAAGCAGAACATTAAGGAATTAACTTAGTTGTATACGAAAATCTGATGAAAGCTAAACAGTTACGCTCTGACCTTGAGTCAAGGTTGATGAACAACCAATAAATGTTAAGTTACACTTTTTATTATCTGTAACGTAAATGTAAGCAGCAGATTTCTGTCAGTGCACAGAGCTAAAATTGCATTAGACTAGTTATCCAGTACCACCTGTTTGCAGTTACATGCTATCTCAGTCGGTATCACATTTTGGTGGATAGTTTCCTGCTGGATATCTATGAACACTATGCATCATAGAGTGCCACAGCCTCATGATATTCAATTTAGTGGCGTTTCCTCAAACTTTATCACCGAATTCCGGTTGATACTTGAGGTTGTATCCTTATATTGAACTAAGTTCAAGATTATATATATATATATATATATATATATATATATATATATATATATATATAGCATCCCCGGAAAAATGACTCAACAAAACCTATCCTGCTTAGTGAATCTTTAGTGTATTGATCTTTGGAATACAAAAAATCACCAATAAAAATGAAACTTACATTTTGACTATTATTGGCTGCTCATTACTTTGTCCAAAACACTGTAGCCCTTCTATATTTTATTTATTTAGCTTGTTTTGCAAGAAAATTTTGACTCATTGACTTGAAACAGTTAAAAAAACACCCAGGTGTAGCTCAGTGAAGAAGCTGTTTATGGTGATTTCTCTCACATCATATTTCAACTTCCATCAGTAAATATTTTGTTGGATTTGAGTGACTTTAAGGGCTACCCTGGGAACTACTTAGATAACTAATTACATCCTTGTTGTCTGTGGAAAACTACCGTCCGAGGCGAAATCCTGAAATTTTATTGGTTAATTTGACAGTTACTGGAGTAGCCCTTAAAGGAAGTGACTTTAAAGGCCACCCTAACTACTGTTAAAAAAAACCTATTATGACTCTTTATTTTATGATAAAAACTAACTTCTTAGCCAAAATACCGAAAACTGATTGGATATTCCAACAGTTGCTGGAGTGGTTTTGCAGTCACCCCCTTTAAATTCGAGTGACGTCTCATCAGTGTTTTATCAGTTGCTAGGGTGGCCCTTTGAGTTACCTGTTTGATTTAAGAGTGAAATTAGGGGCCACTCTAGCCGCGATGGAAATAACCAATTAGACATCTCCACTTCCTCTTGAATGGTTGGTTCTCATGAAATATAGAAGTTTAATTGGCCATTTCAGTTTTAGCTAGGGTGTTCTTAGAATCAGTCTTAAAGTCACTCGACTTAAGGCACGTAGGTATTCCTATAACATTCAGTAGACATCAGTTATAAAAATTAATCTAAATAAATAATCATTAGGTTCTATGATAAATAAGTAATCATTTTAAATGACGAGCCCTATGCGAAATACATTTTTATGCAGCATTTTAATCCGCAATCGGAAGTAAAATAACAGTGAATTTGGAGAGGATTCATGATAGTAATAGCAATATTAACTGAAATAGGTCTGTAAATGTTTGCAATAAAATTGGAGTAGTCTAAACACCAAACATTGTTTTGAAACGACAAACCCCCTGGTTTAATAATAATCTGCCTTCCCAGCCGAAATGAAGAAACCGAATTGGTTATTTCGATTGATGCTTGGGTAGCCTATAAAGCGGACCCACCCACTGAATTTATGTGGTGAACTTGGATGGACCCGAATAATTTAGAAAGGGATGATTCACTTTTTCAAGTTACATACAAAATTTACTATTTTTTCTGATAGTTCAATCAATGAAATCTCCTTTGATAACTTTGCAGTTAAAGACATCTAGAAGTCAACATGAGTGGCTCTAAAGCATCGGGTTCATTTTATAATAAAGTTTGATAAATCATAACATCTCATGCCATATATGATATCATGAGATCATATGTAAATAGAAACTCTTGTGATATCAAAGCTGAGCAGTTGAAAACATCGCAACTTTGAGAAATATAACCAAGAACCGACTAATTGTACCAGTCCTTCAGCCTTTTGCGAAAACGTTTCGTTAACTTTTTGTCTACTTGAAACAACTCACTGAAAATAACATTTTTTATGCATAATAACTTATAAATTGACATTTTGACTGTCTGAGTGAGATAATCGTGATTTGGCAGAATAGTCTTGATACTGGGTGATGATTGAAGATGAAATGAAAATTTCGGCCGCTAAAGGATTTGAACCAGTGATAGCCAGGTTACTAGCCTGGTGCGATACCAAGTGATCTATGAGACGCAAGAATTTTGGCCACAGACCAAAATATAATAGCATACCTCTCTTTATAATCTGCGTATTCAGCAGATCAAGTAGTGTTGCTGTGCCACTTCTGAAGGAAAAAAACTGAAGAGTACTTTTGTTTCCAGATATTTGACGATACCTATGACTATTGGGTATGACTAATTACCCTAGTAAATGTTTAAACAGGGGAATTAGGTTCTCACCACTGTTGTTTATTTTCAAGTTTTATTTATTTATTTTTATGAAAGTGTAGCGTAGAAATAAAAACCTCAGTCTTTAGTTGAACGAGTACAACATGTTTATGATAACAGATGATTGTTGTAGCTCCAGAAGGAATCCTTTGTGGTTGAATCACGGAATTCTAACTTACATAGACCCCAAAGAATTAGTCTTCATGAAATTCGACAATGTATGCTACTCAACTTTAAAAAAAGAAGGACAAACACTAGAGCAGCAGGATCTATTTTATTAGTTCAATGGTTCTCGTTGGCTGCTTACGATCTAACCTTTTTACAGTAATAAATCACAAAAAAACTTTACCTTACTTTATCTCAGTGAAATCAGTCAAAATGGGACAAGAACACAGAGCAGTAAGGAAACTATCCGAATTAAAATAAGGCCGAAATACCATATAATGTCATAAATGCATAAATACAAGAATTGGAAAACCACTGGAAACCTCAGAGCTCTGAACAGCTGTTTCGTCCTAGTACTTGACTCCTCAGCAGTATGCACACACGATGAGGCCAGGTATCGAACTAAAGACCTCCAAGTCTCACGCAAATGCATTAACCATCTAACCAATGGGTCGGAATTCCATGATCCATGGTTCCCTGTTGATTTTCGCTGATTTTCAATGGTTCTACAACTGGTATCATAGGAAACGACAAAACTGAGATACAGGACAAAATGTTTATCATGACATTTTGTACAGCACTGATGAAAATTGTACACCTTCCATTAAAATAGTCATTTGCATAATGTATTTCATTTCCTCTTCTGCTTCTATCTTGACTTGCTCTTAATACGCTCACATTGTCTCTTGCTTTTCTCTAGACAGAATATTTACCCATCGCTGGTAATTGCCTGTGACTTCTGCCGACCTCTCAACACATACTACTTGTATCCGTTACTACCCGTAGCACCCACTACAGTATCAGTCCCCAATAACCTCAAAATAAAGTATCCTATTAGAACCTAAGTTTTCTTGAAAATTAGATGGGGATAGAAAAGCAGGCAAACTAATACTGTGTAACTTAGGACATGAAACTACGTAAGTCAGTGAATAGATGTTGTATTAATAATCAGAAAACCGAACGTCATAGAACATAGTGAGTAGAACTCAGTTTATTAAGATTGTTGTTTAGAGTTGACTGAAAATCTAGTAACAGGATAATAATGTAATCAATAAGTGGAAGGTTAAGAAATTAGTTTACTAGGGTGGTTAAAGGCTGACTATACATTCCTTTTGAACACATAACTCTGGTTACAGGAGTTCGATTGCCAAAGATCCAGTGAAGTAAAGATCCGAATTATTCTGTTTGTCGGTTACCTTCAACTATTTCAAGGCATCTCCTTTGTGTTCTGTACCCACTCAGTATACTCAGATTTGTTGGTACTTCTATATTAAATTTGTTTATTTGATATATAGCGCATAAAGGTATAGTATTATTTACTTGATGACTTTTGGAGCATACATTACTTATTGCTCATAATCATATGAATGTAATCACACTACTTTCGACATTTGATCTTTATAGTTATGTCACTTCATATCTCTGGTATAGGTGTTGCGTCGTTTCTGTTACATGTGTTGCCTGTTGATTTGATTAACAGATATTCAGTAATCAATCTCTCTCCACCCAGCTGATTATACTGGACTTAAGTACGGTCATTTTATCCGACAGTGTGGTTGTGTGTGGTAATGTATGCATTGGAATAGCCGAGTGCTATTCTAGGTTATTGATCTTATTAAAGCCTGTCATTCTATGTTCCTATGTTCCGATAATCTAACTGACCCGACAGGCTAGCTTGACCTTGTAGATTAGATTATTTTACCTTACGGATTCTAACGGATCCTAAGGCTGACAAACTTAATCTCTGAGTGAGTTTGTAGGTTTATATGTCGCCCTAATTCTGGCTTGTTAGAGGAAGAAACTTCAGAAACTTTATGTAGGATCTTCAACATAGCCAGAATTAGAGTGGCGTATAAACCTACAAACTCACTCAGAGATAAAGTTTGTCAGCTTTAGGATCCGTTAGAATTCATAAGGTAAAATAATGTAATCTACGAAATTTCACGTAGTGACTTCGAGGTCAAGTATAAGGTCAAGCTAGCCTGTTGGGTCAGTTAGATTATCAGAACGTAGGAATTTAGCTAAATATCGAGAGACAGGCCCAAATATGATCAATAAACTAGAAAAAATCTTGGCTACTGTAACGCATACATTAATACAACCACAAGATAGAATGGATGGGATGAAACCACTATCCAATAATTCCGGTAATTAGCTGGGTGGAGAGAGAGATTGATTACTGAATCTTTATTCATTGAATCAATTCTCAGTAGATTTAACAGGAACGATGCAACGCCTATATCAGGAAAATTTCACTACCTATAAAAACAATGAATAACATATGACAGGATTATAAGAATCTAATGTCAAAAGTAGTGTGATTACATTGATATGATTGTGAGTAATAATTTACACTCGAAACGTCATCAAGTAGAAAGAACTGTTATTGTGTGCTAGCTATATCAAACCAACAAACTCAATACGAATTACATTTTACCACACTGGCCAAGTCTTACACTTATATTCATGGTTGGTATTTCTTTGATACTCCAAGAATGCGGTGAAGCACTTTTATCCTCAGTGTTATTATTCATTCTTTTCACTCACAATAAACTTCATCATTTCCATTTGATTGGTGTTGTTCAATTGTTTCAGGATTCATATTGTATCCAGCCCAAAAATGTTCACTCCATCGGGAACAGCATACAGTCATGAGTTTCGTATTAATATGGCATATGGTAAAACTGTTCGGTGTATAGAGAACTCCTCGAATTCAGTAAGTAATTTGCAGCTTCTTTTTACCCAGTGGAGTTTTTATACATTTCATAAAAGTTCATTATACTCAAAGTTTTCATGTTCACGATTTCTTTTTGTAGTCAGGTTTGATAAACTTCAGATAACTATTGTGACCGGTACCAGGTATTTAACTTCTCTGTTTTCCATTATGATTTGTTCAATAACAGAAGCTTATTTGAATCAAACATGATTATGCGTAAAAACATAAGTCAGAAATGAAGTAATAACTAGTAGAGAACTTACGAATCCGTCTGCTTATATTTACTTCAATAAATAAGTAACCGGTTTCGTTAACTGGTCTCTGGAGGGCAACTAATTTCATGTGATTTAGTCCTAAGCGCTGATTGAGTTCTATGGATAATTTTGCAATGCGGTTACCAGGCTAGGGGACCCCGCACCGTGGTCCACTTTTAACAGATGTTAGCTGGATGGAGGCAAGTTGCAGGAAGCTTTAGACCTAAGTTTCGTGTTTTTTGGCACTCATCAGCAAGGCGTATCTGAAACCTCGACGGAAATGATGTTCCACCTGGGATTCAAAACTGCCTCAACCAGTACTGCAGTCAGAAACGTCGAAAATGAGCTATTCGAGCCGCGATTAGCGTCCTGAAGGCCTTGACTGGGTACACTGGTCAGTCACTGGTGTTCAGTCCAAACCGGTGATCTAATTCTGATTATTCTTCAGTGATCAGTCAGCGTACCTAATCCGCTCATATGGGATGTCACTTGAGGCCGAAAATAGCTCAGTGGTAACGTCTCTGACGGCAGCACTAAATGATGTAGGCTTGAATCTCAGGATGGACATCAATTCCGTCGAGGTTGAAGGTTTGCCTTACTGACAATTGCCAGAAATCACGAAACTTAGGTTCTTGGATTCCTACTAATTGCTTCTTTTTAACCCAGAGAAACCAGAGTATCTCATTGACTAGTGACTTCATTTAACTGTGAAATTATAAACTTTTCACTGTCATAGTTTTATTTTTGAAAAGAATATCAAACTAAACCATTTTATAGTGTTGGTAACAAATTATTTCAACCTATACTAATAGTTTCTTTTGAATTTTATAGAGCATGGGTTTCTGTATCTCACTAACCTATGAATCTCTAACCAGTCGCTTAATAGCTTCATTGGTTTCCAGTTTTTTAAGGCTTTTGGTATAGATGTGCTGGGATTCTTTGAGTTTGACCGACTAATTATCTCACCTTCCATTCTTCTTTTGAGGATATAACATTAGGGGTAGTAATATTTGATTGAATTCAGCTGTTCCTAAAACAAAAATCATAATGTGACTTTTGGTTAAATAGTCAATCGGTTGTAACCCTTTTGTTAATTGACCTCAATTTGAATTCTTATGTGATGATATAGCTAGGAAGCTATTATGACAAAAGGAGACAATCGCATGAAACTTACTCATCAGATTGTGGGGTGTATCTAGTTTCTAGGTATTGTGGCTCAGTAACTAAAGCGCTTGTTCAGTAACTTGAAGTATCTGAGTTAGTGACTGTTCATAAATTGATACAGGCATTTCGTTTGAAAAATTTGTTGTGATTACATTTTGTATTATAAGTTTCAAAGAATATGAACAATTCACTTATTCACCATTGCTTGACTAGACCCTACGTGTATGTAATACTCCATCTATGGATTGAAGTTTTCCTGCGAGTGGATGCAGTTAGTCCAATAAAACGGTGTGAATGAAAGTCTTGTATACAAAATGGTTCATACTTAGGGTGAAGTTACTGCGATTCTATCTAGATATTTGACTACAGTTTTGTGCTTTCACGATTTTATTCCTTTTCATGAGTGTATCATAATAGATATGCATTATTGTTTTGAAGGTGCCAATATGTATGATGACTTCCCGCCGACAGAATAATGAATTTAAAAACCACCACCGTAGGAACGATTTAAATAGCCAATAAGGTTTGTTTATTTCACTAGAAATGTCAGATTTGCGAAACATCAAGAAGTGTGGTTGATTATTTCAGCTGTTATGAAGGCGGCTTTTAGAGTCACTGTGTTTGAGCTAGCTATCTAAATTTGTCTTTTCTTTGAGTCAGTTGGTGTAACGTTAGTGACTGTGGGATCATTTCGGAGACAGCAACTTGAGGCATAATAATCGTTAGGACCTGTGACTGAGCATTTCTCCTTGTCTGTTAATCAAGCTGGAATTACCATTAGAACACTGGTCAAACCGTTAAGACAGAGATATTCTATTTTGAAACTATGTTCCCTCCATTCTATAATTGTAAAGTACCCGATGAGAATTTATTCAGTAACACCTATGTCAAAATCTTTACACAGATAAGTTTATGGGCCAATAAATGCCTTTTTGATCAGATAAGTCAATCAATGATAATTACTCACTGCAGAATAGGTAACCATTTCACTTCATTATTTGGATTCATTATGAACATTAGTGGTCCTAGTTATCAGTGAGAAAGTCATTTAACTTGAGAGATTTAAATGATGTATTCCTTGAAGCAGAAGATATACCATAGAATCTCTAACAACTATTGTGATAGTTTAAGTATCCGTAGAAAAATTGAGCTTCTGTATACTTTAATCAATAACCTAAATTTTTTCATGAATCATGATTATGATTATATTTACGTAAACGAAGAATATTGTGGTATGTGCGGGAACAACAAAGGCATGCATTATACATTTAATGCTGTAGTTTAAGTCTCACATAACAACATGATTGATTATAGATTCAGTTCATTAACATTTTTGACATGAATTAAATTTACGAGTAAACAGTAGGTTCTACTTTAGATGCCTAAAGTTTCTTTTTTGTTAGCAAAAAACAGACCAAATTAAGTCGTTTTAGTAAATATGAATGAAATGAAAAGGTGATGAATCAGCCAATCAGCTGCTTAGTTAATTGACCAATCATTTGTTGAGATTGTGTCTTCTCCAACTTGTGTCTACATCAGTGTAATTTTTGCTATAATGACAATTGATAGTGCCATTCTTTCAATTTCGAATTATGTGCACAGCTTTGTGCGTGAAGCCTATGATCGATTCTTTTTTTTGAGAATGAGTAATTTATGTGAAAGATTTTATGAATTCTTATTTGTTTTTTAACAAACATTTGGTTATATGAAGTCAGAGAGTATTATTTTTTGTAGTAACTATCAATGGTGCTTAACTTGAAAAATATTTTTAATGAGCGCCTTTTAGAAGTATGCCCCTGCATTCCTTTAGGCCTCTGGTTTGAATCCTGCCGCTATCCACATTTTAACTTCACGTCCAATTATCACCCAGCATCAATAATACGTCTACCAAATCACTTCTGTCTCAGATAGTCAAAATGATGATTTCACTGAGTGTTAGAGTTCTCTCTGAGTCTATTGATTAGGTCTCATAACATTCAGGTTATTAAGATGAATAAACTTAGTATCTGATGTAATGATGCTCTCTGTTATAATTCATCGTTGAGCAGACTTGACAGCTTTTGATAATGGTTGGCTGAAGGCAACTGATAGGAAATTGAATTCGTTCTTACATATAATAATGCAAGACCCTCATCTTTAAAATGAGGGAAACTGTGTCACAAACTTCAACCTCACTTGCTATTCGTGACAAGTATGAGCCAATAAACATCCTGTTTTACCAGAACTCTCGTTATTTACTCTGGTTATTGTCCAATGAATCTAGCGTATTTTGTCAAATAAATTCACGTTCTGTGAAAAGTAGACAGTTCATTTCACGTGAAACGTATGTTTTCTGACTGCAAAATTTCATCACGAATATATGCTACTTGTTGATTTTGACAACTACTAGTAGTGATCATATCCTATGCTTTTGAACGAGTTTTGTTTCTTCTCAGCGTACTCCGAGATTTGATGGTGGATGGTAAAACATTCATAATCTGGCTAGGTGTATTCAGTGAAGAATCTCATTTTATTATATAATTGATATACTGAAGAGATACAAGAAAATGTTAATGTTACCTTTTGAGTTTGTCAAGGGTTAATCGATTATTACATTTATTGTTAGTTTTCAGATATGAAGCTTATAAAAAAGGGTAAATATTGAACAAATTTTTTGAAATTTTCTGACTTATGTATGTATACGGTATTGAGAACTGAAAATGTCCCAGAATAAGACAAGTTATCGGGAGAACCTTCTTTGAATTCATTTACATCAGTACACCTTTATTAACTTGGTAATCTGTTAAGAGGAAATTCTATTTAAAGTAGAAAATTGTTAAGGAATCATCGAAAATTAGGGCATAAAACGCTTTCATTTCATTGTAGTATGCAACGCTTAGAATTTCGGGGGTTAACCAAACAAGGAGGAAATATGTTTTCATAGCATCTGAAAAGTTTCTTGCGTATTCATTCTTATTCTTTAAGACAATGAACGAAGCTGTTTGTTCGTTATACCTGTATTCAGGTGTTCGGAAAACCAGTTAGACCATATCCCTTCGCACAACCTGTCATGAGTCATCGTCCCATCACTACCTTTCTGAATATTTGTAATGTCTCGGCTATTCTCTTTAGCTACTACTCGAAAAATCTACTGGTACCAAACTGTGACAAAAAGAACTGAAACATTGAGAAACGACACCATTTTATCGTCACTGGGGAATAATTGTGTTCGGTACATGTTTCTCGTGCATTCATCTTTCTGTAAGGCAGGTGCAGTTTATGTTTCAAAGTTGTCTGTCGCGGAAAATAGTGTTTGCTGTAAAATAACCCAAAACTATGGGAAAATTATGGTTTTTAGTATTGGATGCATCTTGGTGCCGATGCGTTTCTGATTCATAAAGTAACAACAAAATTAGCCCATGTCCCAACAAAATTGGCTTCGAAAACTCTTACTACTCACAAAGTGTTAGTAGAATAAGTCAGTAAGCATAAAATATTCCTTAGTTAGCGAATATCCAGATTTTGAAGGTTAGTGAGTTAACTTCAACCAGCCGAAAACAGCAATAACATTAGCCAGTACAAGCTCTATTATGACAGAAACATATTTCAACTGAGCCTTAAGGGGTAATATTCGTAATTATTATGTGACGAAGTTGGATGATATTCTAGTGTTCGAACTTTTCACAGATTTTAGTGCAGTATAAAGTGTTTTAAATTCTGTTTGAGGCAGTTTTTGTTATATTACAGATATTCGGTGAATCAGTCATCTAAATCACTTTTCGTTCCATCAGTTCTCTATTTACTGATACGAAGTATTGACTCTCTCAAATGTATGGGAATATTTCTGTTAAATTCCCTGAATGTGATCACCGAGAGCAACAAACTTAGTACTTGATTATCAGTTAGTGCTAAACTGGAATCAAATTTGACTAATTGTGTGACACCTACCACCATGTCCTACTGGTGTATAAAATCAACTTGAAGGTCGTGGGTTCGATCCCTAGCCAGATTGTTTGCACGGTGCTGAAGAATCGCATCCTAGGACGAAACAGCTGTACAGTGTTTCTATTGTTGCTACCGCTACTACTACTACTACTACTACTACTATGAAGAAGTTTTTTTCACTTTGTTGAGTTGTCAGATGGACCAGTGTTTAACTGACTAGGTTGAGAGTCTGCCGAATTAGCTAGATTTAACAAAAGTGTTTATCTTAAACCAAAAAGAATGACATCAAATAGACACATAAAGGCATATAGAATACAATGCGGTATTAAGTACACGTCTATTTGATGAATTACACAATTAAATGCAAGATTAACAACCTAATAAAGGAATATTCTGCAGTTCAAATAGCTCACGCAATTGCTTTGATTGACTTTATATTCTAAAAGCCTAATGTATTTTATCGATTTTAACCAGATTCATTGATTGATTGAAACATTGAAACCAAAAATATTATTTTCACAAAAATTTGCCGTGATTCCTTTATATAGTGGAAATCAGTTGATCACAAGCAACTGTGGCAGACACAATTTCTTGCTGTTACTCTGGAATCAGCTGACTGATTTATGTTGGCATATGAACACCCATGCGGATGCCTCAATATTGCTTGGTTATTCATTATGTTGAAATTTGTCTGATGGTTGCTAGCAGTCGGATACAAAGCATTTGTTTCATTCTATTTAGGACTCATCAGCTAGATGTGCTTGTACTTCAGTGAATGATGTTGTTCCCGTCTCTTCAGACGTCAAAGTGTTACTCATGAGACCACTAAGCATGTTCCAAAGCCTATTATTTGACAGGGCTTCTAGTGAGTGGTGAAGGAGATCGTTATCATTTCTCATGGGTTCGAAACGAGGATAGAACATCAACTGCCTTTTGTGCAACGGGTATACAAAAGGTGGGTCTCGTGCCCCGGTTGCCGAGTGGATGACACCGAAGTGTTTAAACTGATGGATACTGAGTTTGAGTCACACTGAGAACAACATCTCTTACTGGCGTGCAGGTACATCCGGCCGGGGAGTTGCAAATAGGACGGAACCCATTTCCTAGATTACATTGCTGGTCATCAACATGGACACAACATCATGAATATTCGGCAGTATCGAGGCTTTTACATAGGGGCTCATCTGACAAGAGAAGCTGATTAGTTCGACCTTTTATAATAACAGGGATTCACAAGTTTCAAACAACAGGAGAGTTTCTTTCAAAAATGACAATTCAGTAGAATGTAGTGTTAAAGATAGAAGATAAGCCTAGGTGTTGTAAAAGTATTTTGGCATCATTTCAACGACCCACATTTACGAAATTGTTACTGGTTACCACCACTACGACCAAGTGCTGAGAAGTATATTCACAATAGTTATTGTTAGTAAAATAATACAACCTTATAAAGAATTTCCTCTTTGCAAAAATCACCCTAACTATGTTATAATCTGGCTACTGTAAATATACCAGTTTTTTTCAGTTCAAATTGTTTACCAACAGATAATTTGTTGAAACGATGATCTCTGAGAGCACTGCACTATATACTACTACGAATAAAATGGGAACGCTCTTCAGAAACTACTTTTAGTTTGGATGAGTTGGTCTCAAACTTTACATATTCTACCAGTAGACATCTTAGCATTTTCCAGACCTATATAACATTTAAGAATAGAGAGTTGAGAATTCGGCAATAACTTCGGCCTTAAGGATCCAACATAATGAGAACATGTGAATCGAATAATAGCAAGTCTATTTATCATATGCACGCATACATATTGCTTAGATTTAATCCTTCGTAACATCTTTAAATAGAATATTCACATACTGAAGACATTTCGGCTAAATATTCACAATGAGAAGCACATATATTGCACGTATCGGTAAATCGAAAGCAAAGTCTTGTTCACTTGTTTGAATAACTTGTTGGAGTTCCAATATAAACTGCTTTCCTGAAGACGTTTCGTCTATATATTTAACTACTTAGAATTAATAACATAATACAATCCGTTCGTACTCAGTATACTTTTGAATTTATAGAGTTTTATTTTTTCAAATCCTAGGATCACTATGCCGTAGAAGCTTTGATTTGTCGACATACAAACCTTGAACTATCGAATCATGGAAAAAGAAAATTCTACTCTAAGCCAACAAGGTAAGAACTAGAGTAAATCTATATCCAGTAGCTGTCCAAATTTAGACCTCATAGCTCAGTTAGTATAGTATCGGGCCAGAAACCCAGTGGTCGCTGGTTGGAATTCGGGTCCGGTCCAAATTTTCATTTCACCTTCAGTCATCACTCAGTAGGGAGAGTGGATCCAAGTTTAAAAAACTTTTGATTAATCTTATGATAAGTGCAGGTGACAAATATTCATCTTCGTTTATAGCTAAACATACACGAGAAACTAGTCACAGGGTAGACATGAAAACAGCCTTTAAAGTACTACATAAAAGTGGTCAGAACCGAGTGCTTAAATTTATTGAAGCTCTTGCCATCCGTAAATTCAAACCCCCTTTATGTATCCGAAATCAATTTGTACTCACATTGAACCTACCTTGTTATTATTGATTTTAATTTTCATACCAAGAGTAACGAGATACTTTTTCGCTGCCCTTTCTATTCCTGTTTCCTATTAACTTCACTAACCCTTTTCGTAAGTTTTCACATAAACAGTTCGACAAATCCATGTGTGATCAGATCGTTCGTTTTTTATAGCGCTAATACATCACATGTTTCAAATAATCTTCGTCTTCTCAGTACGCTGTTCAGATATGATGTGTTTATATTTCTTGCCTGTTTATTTTGACTTTCAAAAAAATCATTTTCTACTAAGTGTGGATGCAAATCAACTTAATGTCAATGAGTCGTCACTAGTGAATTTTTCGGCGGTATCGATTTCCTGCTTTTTTCTCAAATAAGAAAACAAAGCATTTACGGATTTGCAAACACCTAGATACTAATCTTTCGCAGAAGTAATTGTTTAATCTGACCATACAAGTTGGAAAAGAAGGCTATATGTTCTAAAAACTGGAGGTAGTAGTTAGTTGGCTATTTCGCTCGTACTTTTACCATCTTCATATAGTGTGGAATATGCGTAGATCAGGAGGATGATTTTGGTGGTATTATTTTCTCTGAGCTGGATCGGTAAGTCTCAAAACTCTCATTGTCATTCTAGACAACATCATCAGCACAAACTTCAGAAAGAAGTAAGCTATAGAACTTTCTCAACAAGTTGTTTAGTTGCCTTTCCTTATGACCTTGCGTGTGACTGGTTGTTTCTGCAAAATTCTTGCCATTATATTCTTATGTATTTCGACTGGTTGTCCTGCTGATTTGAACTTTGGTCTTCGTGTTGCTTATCTTGTTTCTTATTGGCTGATAGAATGGGTGAATGTGAATATATCTGTTGATCACTGACTGATCTGAATTCTATGCTTGTAAAAATTCTCATGCATTCTTTGTAATTCCTCTGTCCAACATTTTCACACTTGTCCGTATGCATAGGTATGAGTGAAGTTATGTCATGATGGTTCACTGCTAGTTGATGTTTATGTAGATGGATTCGAAGAGGGGGACCACTCTGTCCGATGTCGTGTTTTTCGCAGTTTTTGTAGTTTATTTTTTAGACCACTTTGGTTTGTCTTCCTATGCTACTGCATCTTTTGACCTGTATAACAGAGGGAGAATAAATTTTGAATGCTTGTGAGCTACAGGGATTCCGAAAGGCTTCAATAATTTAGTTATGATCTCGGAGACATTCTTTGTATAGGGTAAGACAATCTGTTTGTTGGTTTCCTAGGTTGACATCTTTGTTGGCCACAAAATCATACCAACATCTCTCGATGAAGTCTCTTGGATATCCATTATTCCTCTCTCCGCAAGGTTAATGTATTACAGCATGTTTCCCCCCTACTGAACAACCTTTTGATGCAATCGATTTTGTGTAGTGTTGCATTGTTGCTTCTCAAGTTGAGGATTAAACCATTCAGCTCAAAAACACAACACAACCATTACTCTGGTTATGCGAAACACTTTTATAACTAACATGAAGCAAGAAAAGCCAATTAGATGCAAACACGAAAGACTTTGAATTTGAATGTATACGGTTGTGTTAGGCAGTGAAATTGTATATACAGCTGCATTAGTTATTATTGTGTAGCAGTACAGATGTAATCCCTTGAAACTGAACAGTGAGGAGTAATAAGCCTATAAAACAGCGCCACATGATCAATAATTGACATCATCTGCATTATGCAGTAGTAAAATATAAATTCTTTCTGTCCACTTCATTTCAGACTGGCTGATCGTCTTGTTCGTTTGGTAGCTAGTAATGTGACACCAAAGTTCTGGCAAGAAATCAATGAGAATTTGACAAAAGCAGGATGGGAAAAGGATAGTAAGTTAATTTTAATTACTATTTTTCTTCTTAATAGAGTTAATACACTAAAAATATTACAATTAAATTGAGTTAAATCCTATGTATTATTTTTTTGCGCTTGAAACTATAATCCTATTGTTTGAAAGACTCATCCTCTTGATCATAATTTATTACACTAATCTTTCAGCTCTAAAGTTCACTGTAGTGTTTGTTTTAGAATTTAGTATGGATAAAAAAATACCGGAACAGCGCAACATCATGTCAATGACTATGGCCTTAAATTATTAATTACAGAAACTTGCTTTTTCATTATCTCAACCAACTTTCTTCAAGAGAACTTCTACCGAAGAAACTGAATTTTTTGTGAATATCACTAAATTATAGTACTCTTCAATCTGGGAATCTGTATACTGAACTATAATTATTTACAGCTGCTTCAAGATAATATATACTAGTACTAATATGAGTTTTTCCGACAAGGGAATTAGTTTATAGAAGGATCTTTCAGTCAAAAGAAGCCATAAAAACCTCAACCCTTTTATAATCATTATAAATTTCCATTTTGATTCAAAAGTCATTTAAGTGAACAAGGAATATTCTTTACGATAACTTTTTCTTCAAGTCCTACACTTATGTGTACATATTAGTGAATTATGCATCAAAAATATTAAGATTTCGCTTCTCATTTTGTTAGTAATATTATACAATTGAGGAAGTCAATTCAGACAAATCTTGTTTCAACGTTAATGATGGAATCAATTATTATTGGAGTTGATTTCAAAATAACTGAGTATCTAAACGACTACATGGTTTGTGTAATGCTGTAAGGTGACAGTTTAATAAAACAATAGGAAGGTGTTTATGAGATTTGAGTGAAATAAATTATGAAAGATAATTTGAGAAATAATCACTTGATAGAATGTTACCCATGTTGGGGGACAAAATAGGCCAGGAGAATATGTTCGAATTATTTCAGATTCGAGGGATGAATGAGTATCTACAGTATGGAATTCGTCTACCTGGTGTGGGATGCTAATGAATTTGTGCCTCTCTAATCGGTCCTCTAGTAGTTGTAGTGACATTGTAGTGGGATTGTTTTTTACTGATTGCTGTTGCTTGTGCAGTTAGAAGGATTTGCACTTGGGTAAATTGATGGTAATCAGGTACAGGATGTAAAAGCAACCTATTCCTACACACCTTATAGTTCGTTTCAACCAAGTGTGGTAATATATAACTAGTAATGGTCCCTACCAAAGCTTTACCCAGTCGTGCTATGGAGTGTTCGTAAGCACTGGGAATTAAATTCCTACAGCAGTGAACTAATCTACAACTCATTCGACTGTTTAATTTCACCCCGGTATATACTGTGACCAGAAGAAATAGACAGAAAGTTAATGTGGTAAAAGAATGAGACAGTTCGTAGTGTAGAAGATTTAGATTTGGTTAATCAACAGATTTACTTGAATACAGAATCAGTATCCGTGAAGTCACTAACTCAAATCCTTTTGACACTGAACACCTTCTCTATAATTGGTTAACATTATCCTCTTAGAAGAATGGACTCAGTAATTTCAGTTATAGAGTTAAACAACTAGCAATTAGCACTCAATATTTAACAACCATATTGAGCTTTCTATCACTTCAAGGCAAATTATTGAAATCGATGGTTATTTATTTCACTGAACACTTGGTAATCGGTCAGCATTTTAGCAGAAACATAGACCAGCTATATGAAGACGCCACATATCAAGTAATTCACGATGGGAAGCTCAGTGATGCTTTTGAAGTGAAAACAGGAGTGAAACAAGGTTGCCTACTATCACCCATGATATACCTGATTGTGGTTGACTGGACTGGATCATGCAACAAACAGTGAGTAGCTGTGAGAAGAGGGGGATACGTTTGACCATAGGAAAGGAACCTAGAAGACTTGGATTTTGCCCATGACTTGTGTCTGATATCGCACAAACTTGAAGATCTACAGGCGAAAACTAAGAAGTTGACAGAAGAGGCGAGGCAGCGAAGATGGGACTTCAAGTGAATATGGAGAAGACAGAGGTGATGAAGATACCCAACTGACAACAACAACAACAGAAACAAGCATCAACCACCATCAATGGGATAAACGTAGGGGAAGTAGCCTCTTTCACCTATCTTGGCAGCATCGTTTCAAGTACAGGCGTCAAGGACAAGGATGTCAAAGTCAGAATCGAAAAAGCAAGACAGGCGTTCATTAGCCTGAGACCAGTGTGAAAATCTTCTGTACTCAGCACAAATAACAATATCCGGATTTTCAACACCAACGTGAAGTCAGTGCTCCTGTATGGTTCAGAGACTTGGCGCGTTACGAAAGGCATTTCCAGCAAACCACAGATATTCATCAACAACTGCCTACTCTGGCTCGATGCTGAAGATCAGATGAGATGGCGAGAAAGAACAAGCAAGAAGGGATCTGGCAACGAACCAATCACGAACCTATCGCTGAACAAATATGCAGAAGGGAGTGGAGATGGATTGGGTATACACTGAGAAGGCCGACTGGGGACATCACGCGCCAGGTCAGTCACTCGAGTGGAACCCGGACGGGAGGCAACGAGTTTGGCGTCGTAGGTGAGGGTGACATGCAGGAGATCGTACGATGAAGAAATGAGAGCTTGTGGGCTGTCGTGGAACCAGGTTCAAAAGATTTCAGAGAACAGAGTGGAATGGAGACGTGCAACTGAAGCCTTATGTTCCATTAGGAACCTAAGGGACAAATAATGAAATAATAATAATAATAGACCAGCTACACTCGAAGTGTTCACAGTATTACTTCAAGTGGAATTACTTACTAATGACAACTATAACCAAAATAGTCGCATTATCGAAACCATCAAATTATCTATTAGAAGAATAAAAATCTCAAATAACTCACTTAGATAACAGACACAAAGTAAGACCTACACAGGTATGCATACTCTCAAAACATGGAAAAAGAAAACTTTATAGAAAATAATTTCAATCGCATTCAATTACCTAGGTTAGTTAGATGATAATTCCCAGGTGGCTTTAATCTAATTTATATGTACAAGTGAGTGAAATTTACATATTGTACAGAATAATCTTATATCTTTTCTATCCCTCTATATTGAATGCTGTAATTTGTTGTCCTTTCTATTTCTAATTTCGTTCTCACCATTTACCTATACTGACCTAACACTCAAATTTTATCTTGTTTATTTGCTTCTTCTTTGTTAATTATAGAACTTGGTAACGATTTACACTATATCTTTACATCTGATGAGTAAGTTCTCCAGGATATATTTCAGTATTATTCTTTAGTGTTTTCTAAGTTGTTTATCTTGATATTCAACGGTTACGAGATATCAAGAAGATCTTTACTGTCTGTTATCCAAGACTGAGTGAATTTTATTGGCTTTCGCCTGTAATTTCATCGTCAAGTTCATATATGACATCATACTAAAACGTATTTGGGGATGGACGTTTAAGAGTAACTAAGATGAAGTTATCTTTGGTATTTATTTCCTTCTTGTTAACACTCATCAGGAAGATGGATCTAGAAAAAGAGGAAACTCACCACTTAAAGGAACACTTAATACCAGACGGTACTTGATAGATCCTTTGTTTTGAACTTCTTTATGCTGGTAATTAATCTGATATATGGGTTTCACGTTAAAATCTCTTATACAGGTTGATCCCACTTTGGGGACCCTGACATGTGGAGTTAATCTTAGTTTCTCCTAATAATGATCTATCTACTAAACAGTGTAGAAGTCCCTGGTTTCAACTGCATATATACTGTCATTATATAATGTTGAGGAGTCTAATCATCTCTTTTGGGGTCCTGGGTGCGCACTGCTGAGGAGTCCCGTACTATGACGAAACAACTATCCAGTGCTTCCAGGTTTTTAATGTTCCTCCAGTTGATGTCAGTCCATGATCGGTCTCAACCTGAAATGAAATGAAGAGTATTTATTCATTATTTACTATAACTTTAGCTAACGTTGACTTACGATTAAACGTGTTCAAGAACTAACCAGTCATGATCAGTTCTTGATGAATAATAAAGACTAATATTGAAGAGACATTGAATACTGCTTTCTAAATAATACCATCTCAAAGAACTTTTTACCAATGAAAGAGTTTGAATCAAACACTTTCAGTGTGTCAACCAGTATTCATGCTTGATTTTCACTTTTCGGTGTTGTAATTTGTGAAAACAATCTGTACCACTAAGTGGTTGTTCATACTGAAGAAGATACCGATTCAAATGAAAAATTCAAAGTAACACTTCTCTGATAAATGATTTGTCAAACAAAAGCTGAACAATTTGTGCATTTCTATAAACAAGCTACTGACAGTTCATACAGCGTTAGATATCTACGTAGTCTGTATCAATTTTATTTCGTGTTAGTGTTATATTGGGCGACAGCATTGAGATTTCAATGATATACCAAATTTAAAATAAGGATATCCGTCACTTATAATATGGGGTATTAATGAATCCAATCTTACTAGAATTTACAAGAGATGCAGGGCAAGGCGTCAAAAGGAAATATGCTTCTGAATAATTATGTTTGAGACAACACGATGAGCGATTACTTCATCAGGTGATTTTGACAGTATTGTGTTCTCTGAGCTGGATCACCTAGTCTCGAAGCTTTCATTGTCATTCTAGACAACATTATCACAACCTGGTAATCTTGCATGTGACTGGTTGTTTCTGCGAAATTCTTGCCATTGTATTCATATGTATTTCGACTGGTTGTCCTGCTGATTTGAACTTTGGTCTTCGTGTTGCTTATCTTGTTTCTTATTGGTTGATAGAATGGATGAATGTGAATATGTCTGTTGATCACTGACTGATCTGAATTCTATGCTTGTAAAAATTCTCATGCATTCTTTGTAATTCCTCTGTCCACTATTTCCACATTTTCCAGGTCAAATTCACGTCCACAGTTCTTTTTATGCACTGATATGAAAGAGGATATTTTGTAACGCTTCGCTGCTGGTTGATGTTTATGTAGATGTATTCGAAGAGGGGGACCACTCTGTCCGATGTCGTATTTTCTGCAGTTTATTTTGCGGATAGTGTTTGGTTTGTCTTCTTTCTCTGTTATATCTTTCGAACAGTATAACGGAGTGTGAACCTATTTTGTAGGCTTATAAGAGTCTGGTTGTGCTACTGTTACCTATCACTATCAGTATGTGCCAGCGCCAAAGTTATCATTGCCTTACCTGCGAATGGGTACTGGTAACAAAAGACAAGTAGGAAAACGTGTTATATGTCAAGAAGTGCTGAGACGAGCAGTTTATTTATTAGTCAGAGTTTGAGGATATTTTAGGGAAAGGAAATTAAAATTATCTGCCTATTATTGGTTGAGCTGAGTACTCTGAATGCGTTGCCACTAGTCGATAGGAAGAGGATGCAAAAATAGTGAATGTCGACGGGTAGATGCCTACACGTGAAGACAGACTTACAGAACTAAAGTCACCCGAAGATACCGTGAAAGATTATTTTCCCGTTGTTCAGGTATCTTAAATGTTTATTTATTTTAAAAGTGGATATATTCTTCTTGACAAGAATTTGAACTACGGGCCCGTGAGCTAAAGTCATTCAAAAAGACTTCAGTAATTTAGTTATGATCCGTTAATTGGTTTCCAGACATGATGTTTTAACTGATAGCGAATTAGACCAACATCTCTAGGTGAAGTTGGATAGAAAACCGTTCTTCTGGAAAACAGTCACGAAATAGTTTTCTTCTCTTCTCCGTAAGACTGATACACTATAATGTGTCCTAGTTTCTTTTTGAACAAGGTTTTCATGAGATGTTCTGATTGTTAAAATTACCATACAGCAGTTAGTATCATGGTGCCAGTTGTTGGCATCAAGCGATATTTGTTTCCTTCAATATTATTTATGGTTTAAATAATTACTACTGTCGGCCTCTTCGACAAGAACTCTGAACAAACTATGGAAGCGAATTCATTCAAGATCACATCTGAATGTGGAGCACCATTTAGCTTATGTCATCATTTCTTTTCAGTCATTTGAATATTTCGAAACTTGTCTATTCAGCAATGGTTTAACAGAATCTGCCTAAACAACTATAACAACGGCAGGAAAATCGAAAGCAGTAACCACTTTATTTCAGACAGTAATTTTTACTACAGTGTGGAATTCCCATTGCAATATACTAAAAAATTACTCCTTGAACAATATTTTCCAATGAAGTAACCACCGCAGTTAACTAATTTTAATATTAACAGGACGATAAGCAAAAATACAAAACCAGCAGTTATCTTTAAGTTGTCTTCTAGTTTTTGGGTATGTTGTTGCACAGTGGAAAGAATGGAAAAAGTGCCCATAGATTTAGTGGTAGGAGATTATTCAGCCAGGATACAAGTTCTCAGTCGCTGCTAACTATTCCTATAACAGTTATGTGATGAAGCGTCGTGAAGTGAAGAGGCTATCGACATACACAGTGATATTTTTCAGCAGTTTTCTTGTTAACTTGTGGGACGATAAGCTGTACAGGATGTTTTACTACTTGTTGACATTTGAATAATTAAAACAAGCACAAAAGGATAATTTGATGTAATATACAAGGTAGAAACCTTTTGGTAACCTTAAATTTTGGGAAGGCCGTCAATCATTCAATGTTCAAGATCAGATGTTCAGTTTTTCGCTAAAAGGCATTCTGATTATTCACTTGAATAATGATGAAAACTCTTCTCAACGGCTGTTTTTCATCTCTTTCGTTATTTATAAACTTAAAATGACAATCAAGCTGTCTATTGCATTTTGTGGTTTCATTCAAGGCTTTAGAAGCATAGTAGACGTTGAAAATATAAAGTTATTGGTTTGAATGAAAGTATAATGTGTATTCGTATATTGGTAACAGATGTTTTTACCTGATGAAGCTAATTATAAGTAAACCAAGTGTTCAGCAACTTACCGATTAATTACTTTACCAAATTATTACAGTTACAAATGGTTATTTACATAATAATGCTAATTACTTGTTTCACCATACTGACGTATCAAGGAATGTAAATTTTCATCTTTAGCCATAGTTCCAATTGCCCACTGGGTCGAACAACTGTATTAACACTTCGATGTTTATTCACTCAAGATACTGGCAAACTATTCAATGAATTTCAAGATGCCCCAGATTATATTTATGGAAAAATTGAACTTCCACCAGCTTGTCCTGACGGAACTTGTGATGGATGTACATATCACTTTCTATGGCTTTCTCTTTATGCATGTCGTTTATGTACAGAAGAAGACTATGAACGAATTCTGGGTGAATGCGTTTATGGACATAGAAAAGTACATCTTCGTGCTCCATGGTATGTTTTGCTTTAAAAGAAAATAGTTAATTTCAAGTAAGAATGCCTGAAATTCCTCAAAGTATCTGAAATTTAAAATGACTAACCTGAGCTGATATATCGTACTTTGCATCTTAATATTATTCAGAACCTGAGGTACAAATAACCATAACTTATTCTCTGAGACTAAAATAGAACATCTCAAACAACAGGTAGTAGTTTCTTGTCTCACTGGAAATACTGACAAGGATTTCAGCACACCTATATAATAAAGGGGAAGTAGGATTTAACCCATCTCTTCATCTCCACGAAACGTCATCAAAACAAAACGTCAAAGAAGCTTGCCAATAATTTTTCATTTGCGATATGCTATGGGGTCAACTGTTTCACTGCTTCTCTTTATTATTTTACGTAGAGGGTATATGAGTTCATTTGCGTAAAGCAACAGTGAACTAGTGATATGACTTTATTTTCAATAAGCCACAAGCAAATCAACTGAGTGATGATTTATTTACAAATGTTTCGTAACTGCACAAGGATATAATGAACCTTACGTTGCTTGACCTGTTGAATGGTAAATTTCTACGCTTTTTCACCTAAATTATTTTCCAAGCAGACAGAGTGATAAACAGATTAACATGAGGAGTGGTACACAGGTACATTAATTCAAGTTGCCGAAATTTACAGCCGCACGCAAACAAGAATAAGATAGAAGATGAACTACATTAAAGCAGTCAAAAGCGAGCGATATGAAGGAGGATAAATGGATAGAGAGTAAAGTAAATAGCCTACCCTCTCACCTACGGCTCAAGTCAACAGTCAGAGACCTCATAAACCGCGCATTATTTGATCTGGTTACGTTTAACTTTCTCACAATTTAATTTTACTTCTCCTACTATGGTTTATCAAGGTAGGTATAACTTGAACAAGGACAGTAAATGCTCAAACCAACTCAGCCGATGAAGTCCACAACCTTAACGACTCAAGTACTTTTTACCTAACTACAACTAAACCACACGTCACCAATGTTTCAGATATTTGTAGCCATAGGGCATGTTACGTTTTCATATATTCTACTTTCAAAGGCCAAGTATCATATCTGCACAAGAGAACAGAGAGGACTGTTGCGCAGCCAAACTTACTGACAAAAACACATCTTAGAGTATTACTCGATTAGTGTACCAGTGCTTGAGAAGATTTATCACTGAAGACGCGCGTGACATTTGTCTGGTGTTTGACGTAAAGCCGTCAATTAAGATCGTATTTTCATAGAGGAAAGATTTTCTCCCTAGGTCATTCAGAAAGGACTTAAATTTATCATACCAACTTTTGATGAAGGATTTCTTGAGAACTTTCAAAATTGATCAAATATTTTGCAGAAACATTAAAATAGCATTAAAAGTGCTGGGTTTTTTATTGAAGTATGTTACCTAATCTTATAAAGACAGGTTTTCGACTGTGAATAATTGTTAGGTGAACAATTAAGTCTTCTTGTTCATTGTTTTCACTCATTTAAACAATCCCAATTTCTCTGAAACTAAACTGAAAAGATTATGAGTTTGAATTGGTTAAAGCCTCGTAAAATATTCTAAAAGTATTTTGTCTCACGCATAGACAGTTCTGTCGTATGTTAAATATCTTGGAATATGACCACTTTTAACTAGATTTACTAACTTTTTCTTTAAAGTAAAACAAAAAAAACAACTAAATAAAGGGCTCGAGTGGCGTTTGACAGCTTACGCCATACGTAGCACCTCCGTGATATCCGATTGCCTATTGCGGGTCCAATGAACAATTCTGGAGTATACTGTTCTACTTACTATATAATTATGATACATGAACAATAAATGTAGAGGATATGAAAAGGTTTCAGGGGTACGACCACTGTTACCTTCGTAGCGTAGACCATATATCGTGGTATCGCCACGTGAGTAAGGCAGAAGTCAGGTGTGGAGTTTGGGAAGGAAGAGGAAGGTCAGTTGATGAATTTGTGTAACTTCATTGACTGAAGTGGCTGAGACATGTGTTACACATCTCTGATCACCACCTGTCTTGTCCTACAATGTTATCTGAAGCAGATCAAGGTTGGCAAAAGGTTAATGGTGACCAGAGTGAAACACACTGTCAGTGCACGAGGTTGATGAGTGTTGGTCTAAACTTTGTAGGGGAATGTAGGCTTCTCGGTCGGGGTCCTTGTGAAAACAGAAACCGGTGGTTGGAAACTCTAGGTGATGTGACTTGGAATCAAACTTAAGTGTCAGAGATGGATCCATGCATTATCTTCATTGTCGTCATCATAGTAAATTTTAGTGTTCTCTTATTTTTCCTTACTTTCATTCGGTGATATTTTACCACTTTTGACGGCTTTCTGCTTATTTCTTGATCTTTCATATTAGTACACCATAATTTGATGCGGTGGTATGACGTGTGGTCACTTTTACTTTTGCCTAGCAGTGCCTAATTATAAGGTGATGATGATGATGAACATTATTTGACAATTCTGCTTTCCAGGTATTTATCCCCAGACATTTTTACTATCAAGACCATGAATATTGTGACCAAACTTTAGCATGAAAGCCAAAAGTGTGACTCATTAATCTTTGTAAAGTAATATCGCAACCAGTATCGTCAGATCGTCTGCACAAAAAGCTGAGATTGAAGGCCATTATTCTGCAAGTTATACTTCTGACTGCTAAGTAAATTTTGTTTTTTCTTTCAGATTCTAAGATTAATTCCTTTTCAAATCAGGCCATTTAGTAGTTTTTCCATCAGATACAGTATACATCTCATATCAGATTAGTTTTTGTAATAAAAAGTTCAGTGATACAGTATTATTAACTTTGTTCATTTTCTATGTTAGATGAGACACTGGACGTAATCTTTTTAGCACTGTTAATATCAGAATTGAATTTAGTGAAACAAAACTGTTATTATGACATAATAACTCTCTTGTCTCTTTTTTCTTATATTACTGCAGGGAATGTAGAGTTGAATCCGGTAAGAATCTTACCATCATTGAAACATGTCCACTGTTGACTAAATCTCAAATGGCTGCTGTCTTACTGACTACATTTGTTCTGATTATACTGGGACTTATAATTTTTGTGTGCTATCGTCGAAACAAAACGTAAGTTGTTGTTTGTCCTAGTCTTTGGGTATGTGTACTAAGTGTTTAGCTAGAGTGAAAGTCAAAAGCAAGCTGTGAATATAGATTTTCTACCATATGAAATTGTTTAAGTGTTGGACATTGAATGCATATCAAGATTTGAAACTAGTTGATAACCTGATAGGTCTAAGAAAGTTAACTTTCTCTACCATCAAAACAATTTTTTGATTGCCTGATGTCTACGGCTTCCTTCATATAAGCAGGTATTCCATATTACTTACCACATAGTTTATAGTAGAGTATCATTTACGGCTAATATTGATGAATGATTCTGTCTCCACATCAGCTGTGTATTACCTAAAGAATGCAGACAACTGATAATAGATTATATGGAGAAAATAATATTTATTGTAATGCAGAACAACAAATGAATCGAAGCATATCATTAATATATTGTGTCCTCACTAGTGAAGTGAACACTTTCAATTTCAGAAAGTTGGTACAAACAACTGACAAAAATGGCTACTGTTTGTCTATCTACCTTTCTGTTATCTTTATGCCTATTTATGCCGTTTTCTACGTTCTACTCTTGAAGTGTGTAAAAAAACACTCTAGGTTAATCTTTTTTTGATTTTCTCACTCAGTTTTATTATTTATATTCCTAGCGGAAAAACTATCTTAATTTACTTTATAAAATAGCTAGGATGTAGTTGTAATTTTTTGTGGTTTCAATTGATTTTCATGAGAACTTGATGCCAACAAATGGAGAAGACCAGTCTTTACAGCTGTTTTGTATTTGCAAATGTAACTAAGGTGTGAGCAGTTTCTGTTAGGATTCAAACCAGTGGTCTCCAGGCTGTTAATCCGGTTTTCTGCCAGTGGAGCCAGGAGACTCAGTAGCTGTAGAATTTTACCAAACTGCTAGGTAAATTCTTCGTGATGCGTTACTATCACCTGATTATGATTGAAGTGAAATAAGAATCTGGTCAGTAACTTGTTCGTGTAACTCAGTTGGTAAGACACTGGACTGGTAACTCAGGGGTGGCTGGTGCGAATCCTGCCACTTCTCAGATTCTCATTTCACTTTCAGTCATCGCTCAATATGAAACTTACATCTGCTTCAACAGGACTATAGCGGATTTTAGTAGGAATTTTCGGTAACTGAAGGCTAGTTGGGGAATTCGAGTAAGAGGTAATTCAGTAGATGAAACTTTGAAACAAGTCATTTTTCACCAAGAAATAACTGAGGTTAAGAACTTCATTACTTCAGATCAGTCTTAAGCTCTTCATGTCTTCCATTGTCTCTGTGTGCAATATCTGCTGGATGGGTTAGGCATGGATACTGCATTCAAGTAGCAAATAATGAAGGCTTCAGTTATTCACTGCCAGTAGGCCTTTTGAATAGCACCATAAACAAAGCCAAATTGAAGAGAGGAGCATCTCAGACCTAATAACCGAATATATTTCTTTTCAATATTCCTTCTAGACTTGAATATAAATATATGAAACTTGTTCAAAGTACTTCAGGAAAAAATCAAGTAACTAGTTGTGCGTTAGAAGATAATGAGATGGACAATAATAGTGGAAATGCGTATTACAATAATAACAACATTGATAGTTATAACAAGATGAGTGGTGTTAGTATCAAATCCCCACCAAGCTATACCAATTCCACTGGAATTGTCTTAGAACCGAGTGAATTTCTTCAAGGTGAAAAGTTTCCACCAATGGGTTTCAAAGGATTGCCTAAGGTTAATCTTCCACCAATTATTTACAAGGTTAGTGAATATTTTTATTTTATTTTGATATATAAGCTACTGGGTACTTTTATTATTTCAGTTTTGAGGTTTGTAGGGATTTATTGATTTTTGATTGGCATTCATCATCAACTGCAGAAACACTGGGGACCTGGGAGCACTGGATATCTGTTTCGTCCTAGTTCGGTGCTCCTCAGCGGCGCGCACTTATGACCTCGTTAGGGGTCCCATACTAAGACGAAAGAGCTGTCCAGTACTTCCAGGTTACCAATATTTCTTCGACTTATGTTGGTTCATGATGAATACCAATCTGAAATAAATAAATCCCAAAAAACCTGAAAATTGAATTAATATAGTGCTCATTGGTGACTAGCTTTGAAAAGTGATTCCCGAAGTTTTAATCAAAAGTCATGACGAGTGGAGTCAACTTAGTCGAACATGAGGACATTTACTCAACGACTACATTGGATGGATGTCGCCCCATATTGCAAACTGATGGAAGTAAGAAAGACGAACCACTGGATCCTGACTGAGTGGCTCAATAGTAAGGTGCAGGCAGCGGAACCTGAAGGTCCTTGGTTCGATACCTAGTGGGGTCGCATGGATGTGAACTGCTGAGGAGTTACGTAGTGGGGCGAAACAACTGTCCAGCGCTTCCAGGTTTCCAATGTTTCTTTAGGTGATGTCACCTGATGATGAATATCAACTTTTGTTTTTGTTCTGATTATCTTATTGATACATTATTCTAATGTTCTGTCGAAAAAGTAGAGCATCGCTGTTTATAATTGCTGTTTCTTACAAGAAAGATGCAGCTATATGCTCTAGAGAACCTTACAAACTTACATTATTATCTTTATGAACTGTTTGGATATATTGATCTGATCTACCTGAATTTTTTACTGGCATAAAGTCAATTTTTATCAAAGCCAAAAAATAATTTATTGACTTGAAAAAAGTATCAAAACCATACTTTCGTGCAACACATTATCAAATTTTGTATATGAGCTTTAATTTCCACTCTTTCCCTTAGTCGATCTTTCTGGATAAATTTTTAATTTTATGAGTAATCGATTTTTACAGAATATGCAGCAACCGAAAGGCTTAGTTACGCTAAGCGAAGTACACACACACACACGTGCCCACCTAAAATGTCACATAACCATCCTGTGATTCTTTTTTTTTCACTCTCAACTTATTTATTCATCTTCTCCCTGACTGTCATTAACATCAGTCTAGCAGGTAAGAGAATAGATGAATGAATGAGTGGAAATCAGGGTGGAAAATATATGGAAAGAATAAACAAAATAAAAATAACTCATGGTAAGGTTGTGCAAACTGTAAAATGGACGTAAGGGTTGTACTATGAAGGTGGTGATCGCGAAAGGATATGACGGCATATGTATTAGCCGTCACAACCACCATACAGTCATATAAATACAGGTTGCATAGATTTTATACCTTCATCATGTTAGAGCAAACCTCAATCTCTTACTACCTGTGGTGCACTTTCTTTGAACGACAAAAATTATGATGTTGAAAGTGATGATGATCCGTGTGCTGAGGATGATTAGCAAACAACTAGAAATCTAGAAAAAAAATAGAACTGAATATGTGTACTACTCAATAAACCATTTGAGTAACTTACCCATACATATGAACAATAAAATATGTTTTTGTCTTTTTCTAGGGAATGCTTAGCAAGCAGCTGTGGAGGAAGAGTAGTAGAATATGAAAGGGAAATTTGTGTTTTCAAGGGGTTTTCAATTTTATGACAAATTTAATTATTTTCCATTCTTGCTTACACTGTTTGTAAGCCTCTATTTGTTAGAAAAGGGGGGTTGAAATATTATTTTTCTAAAACCCTTGTCAAAAAACGGAATATCATCAGTGATAAGTCAGTCATTTGATGAATGAGGAGAACGTTTTTCAATCATATGTTGTTTATTTACTGTTGGAACCCTAAGACCATTGAAGATAAGAGAGCAAGATCAATTCCCAAGTGATTTAGAAGAATAGTAAAATATTTCAGACAGGCGGAAAAACCAATACATCGAAACCGCTCCTTCTGTAGACTACAGTCTGTAGGAAAAAATGAAAAAGTTTTAAAAAAAATGCTTATTAACTAAAAAATTTCCTTCGGGATTAACTCTTTTAATCTACTCTACTGACTACTGAGTAGGATGAAAATTTAGAACTCATAGTTATCAAGATATTATTTATGTTAAGTAAGGCTGCTTTTAGGTATTAGTACCACAGACAATCCCGAAGTGTTGTCAATCAAAAAATTTACTAAGAACTAATTAGCTACATGAAGATGTGATGAAAAGATTCACTGGAGCGCACAACAAGTACTTTTTGTTCGAATGAAGTTTTCAGCAAAAATTATTATTATTATTAGTCCCTTGGGTTCCTAGTGGAACATAAGGCTTCAGTAGCACGTCTCCAGTGAATTCTGTTCTCTGAGATCTTTTGAACCTGGCTCCATGACTGCCCAGAAGCTCTCATTTCCTCCTCGCACGACCTCCTCCATGTCACCCTCACCTAGGACGTCCAACTCGTCGCTTCCCATGGGGGTTCCACTCGAGCAACTGGCCTGACGCGTGATGCCCTCAGTCGGCCTTCTCAGTGCATGCCCAATACATCTCCACTCCTTTCTGCATATTTGTTGCGTGATAGGTTCTTGTTTGGTTCGTTCCCAGAGCTCCTTGTTGCTTATTCTTTCTGGCCATCTGATCTTCAGTAGCGAGCCAGCGTAGGTGGCAGTTGTTGATGAATGTCTGTAGTTTATTGGAAATACCTTTCGTGACGCGCCAAGTCTCTGAGCCATACAGAAGCACTGACTTGACGTTGGTGTTGAAAATCCGTATCTTGTTCCGCATGCTGAGTGCAGAAGATCTCCACACTGGTTTCAGGCTAATGAAGGCCTGTCTTGCTTCTCCGATTCTGACTTTGACATCCTCGTCTGTGCTGCCTGTAGTTGAAATAGTGCTTCCTAGATAGGTGAAAGAGGCTACTTCCTTTAAGTTTCTCCCGTTGACGGTGATTGGAGCTTGTTGTTGGTGGTGGTGTTGTTGGTTGGGTGTCTTCATCACCTCTGTCTTCTCTACGTTCACTTGAAGTTATGTCTTCTCTACCCTGCCACTTCTGTCAACTTGTTAGTTTTCACCTGCAGATCTTCAAGTTTGTGTGACATCAGACACAAGCCATGATCGGCGAAATCTAAATCATCTAAGTTCTTTTCCGCGGTCCAGCGCATCCCCCTCTTCTCGCTCCCCACTGTTTGCTGCATGATCCAGTCGACCACAATCAGGAATATCATGGGGGATAGTAGGCAACCTTGTTTCACTCCTGTTTTCACTTCAAAATCATCACTGAGCTTCCCATTGTGAATTACTTGGAATGTGGCATCTTCATATAGTTGTTGAATGAGGCGGATAAAGGTTTGCGGTACTCCGTAGTAGTGAAGCAGTTTCCAAATTACTTCTCGGTCGAAGCTGTCAAAGGCCTTCTCAAAGTCGACGAAGTTGAGGTAGAGAGCTGATTGCCATTCTATGCACTGTTCTATGATAATGCGAAGCGTTGCAATTCGGTCGGCACATGATTTGTACTTCCTGAACCCAGCCAGTCAGCCTGTTCTGGTCGTAGTTTTGAATCCAGTGCATCCTTAAGCCTCTCCAGGATGATGCGGCTTAATATTTTGCTTGCTTTGGGCGGATAGGAGAGTGATTCCTCGCCAGTTCTTGCAAACACTGAGGTCTCCTTTCTTCGGCAGTTTGACAAGGTAACCCTTCTTACAATCAATGGCCAGGTACCTTCTCTTCCTTGCAAATCTTCTGCAATGGTGATGTGGTGTGAGCATGTCTGCTGTTGTCTCTGCGTCTGTTCTCAGTGCTTCTGGCGGGATCCCATCTAGTCCTGCTGCTTTCCCACATTTCAGTAGCTTTATGGCGTTCAGGACTTCCACTTTTGTTGGAGGATTTATATTCACTTGTAATTCAGCGGCTGCAGGTGGTATTTCTGGACGAAGTGCAGGTGGTGGTCGATGCAAGAGCTTTTTGAAGTGGTCGGCCCATTGTTTCCTTTGTTCCTCTTCTTTCGTAATTAAATTTCCCTCTTCATCTTTTATTGGTTTCATCTGTGTTGATCTCTTCCCAGATAGCAACCTGGTTATTTGATACAATGTCGTCAGGTCTCTCCTACATGCAGCCTGTTCTGCTTCACTTGCCAGTGTGTCGTAGAAGTGTGTTTTGTCTTTCCGTGCACTCTTCTTCACTTCTTTGTTCAGTGTTTTATACATTGTACTCAGTTCCTCTTGTCGTTGAGCATCCTTGCACTGGTTTATCTTCTGCTTCACCATCCTCCTGTCCCTACTCTGTCAGCTTCCATGTATCCGTCGAGATCCATTCCTTATCTTTTTTCTTCTTCCTTCCTAATACTGTTGTGCAGGTTTCTTTCCACATAGCTTTCAAAGACTTCCAGTGTTCTTCCACATAGGTTTCTTCAGGGATGTTGCTCGATGTCTCCCATTTTGTCTTGATGGCTATCGTGAAGATCTCCTTTGTAATTTCATCCTTCAGTTTCCGAGTGTTGTACTTGAACTGCGATCTATCACCAGCTTCATTGAAGACTTACGACTTGATTTGGAAGGTTCCTTGCACTAGATAGTGGTGTGAACCTACATCTGCTCCTCTTCTTGACCTTGTGTTAAGTAGACTGCATCTCCATTTTCTTGAGACTGAGATAAAGTCGATTTGATTTTTAGTGTGTCCATCTGGTGGACTCAAATCCATGTGGCTTTGTGGACATCCTTGTGCTTGAACACAGTGCCTGACTCCAATCACCAAATCATTGAATGCGCAGAATTCTGCAAACAATTCTCCATTCTCGTTAATTTCACCTAGCGCCTCTCGACCCATGGTTAGTTCTCTTCCTGTGTTGTCCCCTCCCAGTTTGGCATTCATGTCGCCCATCAGAATTTTGATATCGCCAACTGGCGTCCTGTCCAGTGTTGATTGAAACTGTCTGTAGAATTCCTCCTTCTTCTCTTCATCTGCATTATTTTAGGTGCGTAGTGTAGCATTGTATGATTGTGACCTTCCTTCCTTTTGAGTTGAATCTTGCTGTCATGATCCTGCAGGAGGAGATTGGTTCCCACTGCATGAGAGCCTTCGATGCTGTTGGGGACATCATGATAGCCACTCCCTCAGTGTGCTCGTGGTTGGCGTCTGGGTGACCGGAGTCGATTATTGATTCTCCAGTTGACAGTTTGGAGAGTCCACTCCCATTCCATCTGCTTTCGCAAATCCCAAGCACTTCGATGTTATACCTTCTCATCTCGTTTGCAATCTGGGCTGCCTTACTGGGTTCCAACATCGTACGGACATTCCATGTCCCCACGTTTACTTTCGCTTTCATCGAGGGAGAGAAGACACATCTGCCAATTGGCTTCCCGAAGGCTTTCACCAACTGGCGTCATTTCGCCTCTCAGATTCCAGCGAGGAATAAGTTTGCTTTCATTTTTTATATTTTGTTTGTGCTTCAAAGTTTCTTTAGCGGTTAGATTTGTTTTAGGATGTAGGGTTGGTAGTGCTATGCCCAACCTTCCCTCTTTACCCGGGCTTAGGACCGGCTAGTAACTAGTGAACTAGTTAACCAGGCGAGGTTCAGCAAAAATTAGATAATCCTAATCATCTATTCTTTTGTTTGTTTCTTTTCAATTTGGATGTTTGTGGGGGTTTTATTGGTTTCAGGTCGGTTTTCATCATGAATTGACATCATTGACGTTAGTAACTTGCTCTGAGATAGGTTTCTTGAAGTTTTAATAGAAGTCGTGACCGCTGGAGCAAACTAAGTTGGATGTGAACTGAAATACTCAGCAACAGCATCGGATGAAAGTCACCCTCTATCATTAACAAACAGATGTAGGGAATCCATGATCATTGGATTCCGAGTAAGAGGCTTAGAAGTAAGGTACTTACCTTAATGAGAAGTATGTTGCAGATACATTGCAGCTAGTGAAAACACTATTAGACAATAATGGAAGGCGGGTAAATCATATCAGCCAGAAAAAGCCCATAATAGTTACTGTGAATATTCGCTTATATGTGATCGAATGATAACTTTGATAGCTATGACGGGAAGAGAACTATTACGGAGAACGACTATGCTCGTTTTGAAGAGTTGTTTACGTAAATGCACCGAGATTCAGAAATTCAGAATCATCTGACCAATATGAGAGCATTTATTCCATGAGTTAGCAGGTGTTCGCAAGTTTAACTTTTCATGCTTTTTTTGAACGCAACACAAATATATTTGTATGTATGTTATGGGTCAATGTATATGTAATGACCTAATATCCACGTCTATAAGCAAGCGAACCGGTGAACAGATCCCTAATGAGAAGCGATCCATCAAGAGAGAATACATTCTATGTCTTGAACAGGATAAAATCAGCCAGTCGTTATTTGTATTATATCCTAGGTAAAAATGGTAGACACGAGGTAAAACATGTACCTAGCATTGAAACTGCTTTTTATCCCTGAGTGCTAATGACTACTTAGTAATCGATAATTTCCCAGTTTGAGCCACAGCAGGCAAATGTTTTACATATCCCAAGCTAGTTGAACTAGGCAAAGTTGAGAAATTCATAGAACTTCATACGTTCCTCCAACACGCAAATTTCTTATGTTATCGAAGGTGAATGAAGAGTAGTTTTATGTGTGTTCTGTGATCTTATTTTTCGAAATAACTCATAAATCTGGTAGGTTGGACAATTTGACCTTAGATAACAACGGGAAATAACAAGTATCAAAGCAACAACTGATAATCGTTGCATAAGAGGTAACTTTCATTTTCCAGTGACCCAGTGGATAACGATTCGACGTTTGAAGCAATGGGTATCGGCATCAAGTCTTAGTGGGGATAACATCGATCACTGTAGTGCATTTGTATCCAGTCGATCAGTCTTAACTAGGATGAAACGCGCTTCCTGGATTCTATTGCTTGTCATGAAGATGAATTCAGTCTGATAGGATGTTGATCTTACCAACGTTCAGTAGATTCAAACGATAATGCATGAGTTATATGATCACGCACTATTTACAAATAATAATGAAAACTGAAATAAATTGAAGTCATCTAATTCTGGAAAAAGAGTTTCTTCTGTATTGGTTAAACAGTATCAGGAAAATTGGTAAACAGTTTTCTGTCATCTTGTTCGTTTATTCGATAGGTATTTTTTACTGGTATTAATGGTGTGAATACACCCATTCTGATTTCGGTTCAGCAAAATATAAACGATCTATTCCATACAATAATTT